GAGGAGGGCTGGAGGAGGAGGGAGGAGAAGGAGGAGAAGGAGGAGGAGGGGGGGATTTTTGCTCCGAACCCTGGCCAGCAGCGTCTCGGTTCGCGGGGCCCCCCTGCTGCACTGGGATCGGGTTGGGCGAGAGGGGGATTGTTCTTGGTCTTCCCCCTCCTCCTCCTCCTTCCTCCTCCTCCTCCTCCTCCTCATCCTTCTTTTCGTCTTCCTCCTCCTCCTCTTCCTCCCTCTTCCTTCTCCTCCATTCTCTTCCCTCTTCCCCCCTCCTCCTCCTCCCGCCTCCCCTTTTCCTCCTCTTCCCCATTCTGCTCCTCCTCCTTATGCTCCTCCTCCTCCCTCCTCCTTTTCCTCCAGGGGCCGACGACAACTCCCCCAGGATCGGATGCACGGGATCGGACTGGGAGAGGGGGGTTGTAGGAAGATCTTTGATCTCCGACGACGTGATGTTTCCGATCAGTAGTTTTCCGTCGATATCGGTCCTTTGGGGGCCATCTTCGGGCCGCGTGGCCATCAAATGCACCTTCGCGGCTGAAGACTCTAAAGAGCATGAGCAAGTGAATTACCAATATGGCCACCACTTAGTACTAGCAGACATGCGATTGTGAATGCGACACCCAACGCGAATGCTGAAGGGATAGGGGCAGGGATACATGGCCAGGGACTGATGGACCGGGATACGGGATGGGGATAGGGATGTGGGATCTACTCAAGAGGGACAGGTGTAGGGATAAGAGTAGTATGGATAGGGGCATGTATAGGGAGTCAGAGGGTGACACCGCGAAACGACGTGAGGCACCGGGGGGCAACGGGAGACAAAGGGAGACAAAGGGAGACAACGGCCGACAGCGGGAGGCAGCTGGAGACAACGGGCGACCACGGGCGACAACGGGAAACAGCGGGAGACGGTCAGCGCCAGACGGATTCCAGATCGGGCGAGGCTCACGGGTGACAGCGGGAGGTGACGCAGGACAGCGGGAGACCGTCGGAGACGGCGGGAGACAGCGGGAGACGGCGCGAGACGACGGGAGACGATGGCGCCCCCCCGAGTCCAGATCGCGGGGCCCTCGCGTGCGGCCTTCCAGGAGAAGTAGAATGAGAGACCCGTGTTACTCAGAGGAGGAAAAGGTACCCATACGTCTCCCCTCTCGCCCGATTCCCCATGTTTGGGCCCCCTGGGAGGCCCTCGTCGCCACCGCTGGGTTCGCCTCGAAATCCTGGTTCGAATGCACCCCGGGGGAGGTCCGGGGACCAGCGGTGTCAGTACCGTTTGGTTTCCCCAGTTGTAGACAAGTTGCTTAAGGGAAAACGGATCCGGGGCGGACAACTACCCCTGGGGGAGGGGGTCGGGACCTCTGGCGCTGAGCGGATGCGGCAAACAATCGGACGGCGGATGTCAGGGACTGCTACACGTGCAGCGGGCTTCGGCCCCACCTCTAGGCGCTCTCTTTATTTTGTGTCTTCGTGAGACCTTCCCTGTCCTGTCAGTGGCGGTCTTTTCTTGTCGTGATTTCAAAGGTTTCCGATGATCTCTTGAGGGGCCGCCGCCGCTTGTTGTCGCTCAAGTCTTGAGTATGTGGGAGTGGCTCACAGACCACGCTATCTCGGGAGCGGTCTCGTACCTCACCAGGTGTCCGCAGGTGCCATCCTGCCCTCCGTGTCCCACCGGCTCCCTGGCTTGCGGGGCGCCCGCTCCCTGCCCTGGGTGCTCCCTGCGGTGCCTTGCGGTCCCGCCCTGCGCGGAGGTCGCCCCAGCGGTGTGCCCCGCGCCGGCGCCGTGCCCGACTCCCGCCTGCCCGGCGTGCGAAGCTTGCGCGGCGCCTCTCCCACGCCACCGGCGCCAGAGGCGGCGCCCGCCAGGGGGGCCGCTGCGGTCGCTGGGGACGTCCGCGCCGAGCTGCGCGTGCTGTCCGTGGGGCTGCTGGGCGGGGCGATCGGCGTTCTGCTCGCGGCCGCCAGCCTGGGCTGCTTCAGTGCAGCCGCTCGCTGCGACGGCTGTCCTCGGGCTCGCGCTCGTGCTGGTCACAGCCATGGCCGCAGTGACGACTCAAAGGGCATACGTCTTCTACGCAGGCGAGGTGGCGTGGCACCAACATTTGAACCTGGGCTGGGTGGCTTTGTCCGAGGCTGACCACGTGATCTACACGACCGACGGCGATTTGTACATCTTTGCCTTCGCCAACAACCCGGACGTGCAGGCCGCGCGCGTCGGGTCGTTCGACCCGCCGCCTCCAGGGATCGACGCGACTAGGTGCACAGGTTCCGGGCGGAGCCGACTAACGCGGAGGTGGCCCAGCTGACGGCGGAGGCGGAACAGATCGCGGTCGCGGAATGCCGCGCGCGGCGGCGGTTGGCAACGTCGGGTTGTTCACCAACCTGCGGGCGCTGGTGGTGCCCGGCGGTGGGGCCGCCGCGGTGCCCGTGGCGCCAGTGGGCCCGGCGGTGGGGTTGCTGCGCGGCGCGGCGCCTTTGGGCACTGCCGGCGGCGGCGCTGATGCTGTTTGGGCGTGGCGTGCTGCTGCTTGCGAGGGCGGCTTCCGCATCGGAGATGTTCCCACCGCGGCTCGCGTCCAGGATCGCGACATACCTGTGCTCCCCGACGGCCAGGGCCTCTTCGTAGAGCTGGTGCCCGCTGCTGCGCTTGAGTCCCAGTCTCCGGATAGCAGTGGATGCGGGCGCCGGGATCTTTCCCATCGCTCGGTGCGCGCAGGGCCGCCGAGACGCCCCGTGGCACAAGATGCTGGAGATGACCCGCCAGGAGGACTCCGGCTCGGATTGGTCGCCGCCTGGGCCGGGGACCGCCGCGTGGCGCATGAGCTACTTGCAGCGGGAAGGCCTCGGCATCGAGGGGCATCATGAGCACTTCCGTCAGATCTGCAGGCATGGCGCTACCGACTGGGGGGTGCAAGAGCATTGCCAGCTGCGCCACCAGATCAGAGCAGCCACCTGCCAGGACCTCCTGGACGGCACGAACCTCATCTGTAATTACCGAGATGAAGTTCAGGAGGCCCCAGACCATAATCAGAGTTTGCGCACTGGGTCAAGGCGAAGGACGCCGAGAGCAAGGGCGTCGGTGGCAAGATGAGCCTGGAGAAGAAGGCGGGTTTCTCGGGGGTGTCCAGATCTACCTCCTCTGCGACGGCGTCGCCCGACTTGACCGAACACGTTCGCAACGACGTCGAGAAGGAGGCCATTTTGCACAAGAGCCTGCGCCTGGCCCGCGAGGAGCGGGAGCCCAGGCGCAAGAATGGTTCATCTTGCGCGCTGGCCTCGGAGGGGGGGGGGCCAGCACGGTGGCGGCGCCCCTCCAACGCGCTGGTCCTTGTGGCCCTGCCCGCGCACGAGGAGTCCACGATTTTGGCAGACGTCGGCCCCGGGGCATCCTTCCGCCCCCGTGCCCGTTCGCTGCGGCGCCTG